TTCTGATGTTAGTTAAGAGAAAAAAAACAAAATTATTAATAACTGACAAATGTGTGGTGTACCATGTGAAAGAAGCTGGTAGTTTCAGTCCATTTCTGGATTGATGGGCAGGTGCCTGCAGTCTCCACTCAGCAGTCTCCACAGCTGGCACCTCAAAGCATCTCGGACAGACCAAGGACTGAGAAGCGCTCAACACGGAAGTACAAAGTTCAAAGACCTTTACACTTGACATGAATTGACTTCACACATAAGTGGAGCACAAGAAAATTCACCACTGCCTTGGCAGTATTTTTCAGCAATTACTTATCCTCCTTGTTAAAAACCTTGCTTACTTCTAACCTGAACACATGTACCTTCATTTCTTATACCAATATGGTTTCTCTGCATGGGGACCTGAGGACTGTAATCAGGTAATTTCCTGCCTTCTTCTGTGGTTATCAGTCTCTGGGACTGAGCTTGAACAGCCACAAAAATTGAATAATTCCTAGCACCCCTTCTGCTTCTAGGAGTCATGCCGTAGGCCTTCCCACATTACACACAACTACTGCACGATGCAGAGGGGAAACATTTTTGTTTTCACCGTTACTTAAATGTGTGTATGTGCAGTGGGAAGGACAGGGAAAGGGCAAGAGCAACTGTTAAGGATGCTGCAAATTCAGCTGCTGACAGATGACTACCCACAACAGTACACACTTCCCACAGTGGGACACAGCTCTGTTGAAACAGCTGCACAGACTACACCAGCATCCTACTTAGTTTGGGCCAGCATCCACCTCCAAGTGCCATCCCTCCAAACAGGGTCAAACGCCTGGAAATTCCACAGTGAAACAACCTGCAACCAGATTACTGTAAGAAAGATTAACAAGACTTGCCTTCACCTCCTTTGCTTAGATCAACTGGTACAGAATTGGTTAGGTCCCAGATTTAAAGGAGTAAAGGTAAACATCACCAACATGACTTTGCTGCATGCCTTTCTCAACAGTAGTAGCAAAGTAGGCTCTAACGTGTTAGGTTTTGTATCCTCTAACATACTGAAAAGCTCTAGTAAGTAAAGTAGCATTTGAGCTCAATAGGAATGTCTCCTGGGGGCCATTTCCCAGAGCATCCCAAAAGAACACTGCTTGCCAAAAGCAAGGGCTCTAATTGGCTGTTAGATGTCTCTGAAGCAACAGCTTCTCTGTAGAGAAAGGGAAGAAGTGCCTAGGAGGAATTAAGTGTCCATTTTCTCTTTATATTCTGACTGACTGCTTGGTTAGGATGCCTAGATATCACAGCAGTCAGATCTTTAAGCATTTTGGTCTCTGAAGCCCAACAGCTATTTGTCTTGGCCTTAAAACAAAAAAGGAGTTCAACTAAGAGATACAACAGGTCATTGCAAGCTACACAACCACTTAAAGCACACAGGTATCTGATTTCCCATCTGCCTTTCACTCTCTCTCGCATTCTGACCAGAGGTTTTCAAATCTGAACTAGCTCGGAAAGAGATGAGAAAGCAGGTGGCAAGAAACCTAATTGTTCTTCTCTGCGTATGGCTTTTGTGTGGATATAAAACCTCTGTGAGTGTTCCAACAGCAGCTGCCCAGAGTGCTCTGGAGGAGCCAACCTGCTTCTATGTCTGTGTGGGAACACGCAGCACTGTTGGACATCATTCTAATTCAGAGGGCTCCTTCTGCGCAGCTGAAGTAACAACCTTGCTGTGTGTGGCACACAGCCCTTTCACTGGGACGTGCCACCAGTTACCTACAGTTTTTCTGATGGAGTTATAAACATGCATCTTTAAAATATAAAATGTTTACTTAACAGGTTAAGATCCCACTTAGCAACGTTGTGCTTCATCGGAACAGCAGCCTCAGGATGCTTTTTAAATATGAATTAATTTTAGGCTTGGTTTTATATTTTCTTGAAACAATTTAATTAACAAGAACCAAGGGGCAATATTGCAAGATAGCTTAGTCCAGATTTTGGCAGATTCCTTTCAGTCTAAAACACCTGAAAGCCTTACAAAACAATTTTATGTCTTGTACTTAATGTAGGCTGACCATATCTCAATGTATGCAAAATGTTATATTCCAGCTGATTTACCAACCTACTTTTTCTCATTATTCCAACTTGAAAGCACACTGCAGCTTTCCAAGGCTGAACTTCAATTATGAGCCGCACACAACTTAGAAGTCCATGAGGATTGGTAAATAATCATCAAAATAACTTCTGAAACCAAATCTCAGTGAGAAAAGCTTCCTTTTAATCATCTCTTCAACAGAAAAACACTATGAAACCTAAACCAATATAACAAATGTTTTTTCTGAAACTCTTCAGTCATTTTCTAGCAAGCTGGTAAGCTACTAGAAAATACTTCCAAATACTGCAGTACATATAAAACACAGAAAGAAGCACACATTTTATAAACTACTGCGAATACTTCAAACACAATTAGGTAAGAACAGTCTGTCAAGAGAGTGGCAATATCCTAAGCTAAGTAATTTTATAATCTAACAAGTTAGTGCTCTCCACATATACTGGACATTTGCTTTTTTCTCTTGAGTATTCTTCCAATCCAGTGCGGACATTGAAACCAGATTGCTCATTTTCATCCCCTACCCAAGGTTTGCAGCTTCAGGTGCTTTATCAGAAGAACTTTTGCATCATAACAGACACTACCATAATTTCAAAACATGACAAGCAAGATGTGAGTAATCTGGCACCTCTCTGAGAGTATGCACCCATATTTGTTTGTTCTATAGACAGCTAAAAAGGACCAAATCCTCTTTGACAACAACAGTGAGTTTTCTGTTCCTAAAAACACTTACCCTTTCGTGGTTTGCAGAGAAAACTTTGCTTTATGGAATATTTGTAACATTCCCTATAGGATAATTAGGAAATCCTTGAAATTTTGTTAGCAAGAGACAAATGCACCTACTGCTGCTCATGACAATGCAGCATTTTAGAAACGATCAATGCGCACACACACAAAACAGGGAGCCTCAGGAAAAAAAGCTTCTCAATTCACAGCTATTCCATGTTCAAAGGTCCAAATAAAATTAAATGGATTTCTGAATACCAACATAGGCTCTCACTTGCAAACAGTGATGTCTAGCATAAAAGGAAGGGAAATGCATCAGAAAAACATTCCTGTTTGACTTCAGTGGACTTGAGAACAAGCCTCAAGCACTACATGGATACATCAGCTATAAACAAACCTACTTACAGACATGGGAAGATGCAAATAATAAAGGAAGTAACACAATGTTTTCTAGGTCTTTGTTCCAAAAGAGATACGTTCAGATGCAGATAAAGTACGTTCACAGTAAGACTATGAATGGTAAAGCAATAATAATCAGTTCAGCTCCCAAACAAATGGACCTTGAAATCCTTGCACTATTTACAGAAGTTTAACTGTTGCTTTCCACAGCACCTGCAAGGAGAAGAATACATTGCACATTGCAAAAACAGAAGGCACAGTTAGAGAAACATTTATTTTAGAGGCAAGGGTGAACAAAGAACCAGCCACTGACCAGCCACTGCTCCTCAACCACTGTAAGTTTTAAGACTGCATCATGAACCAGATTGGGAACTGAGCTGGGTAAATTTAATACTCAGTGTCTTTTGTGGAAGTAGCTAGAGGAAGAAATGGTGACTTGATTATATTTGGTTCACACAAGCTCCCAGATCTGTTCACCACACAGACCCACAAACAGATGCAACGCCATGTCAGGAAGGCGTGTGGGCTGTCAGAACTACCACCACCACCACAAGAAACATTGACCTGAGGTTGCAGCTGGAATGTGCCATAATTAGCATTCCTACCTTTCTAATAATGATAATAAAACAAATATAACCTCTACTCATTTTAGAGAGCAGCACCCCAGAGGAAGCAATTTCATCTCTCCTCAACGAAGAGCAGTTTGAAGTTCTGTGATTCAGAACTAACCTGCATCAGGCTCAACGTAAGTCAGATGGACACTTCAAAGTTAACAGCTTACTTAAACTCTGCTTAAATCCACTTCTGAGCTAAAAGAAAACCTTGAATTCCCCATGAACTTCGTTTTTGTTTTAATCACAACATATTAGGGATATCTTTTGTTCAGCTTGAGTACTGATTTGCCTGGGAGAAGTGGAAGTTTTGTAGTAAGTTTGTAGTTTTCAGTTTTAGGACTGAATCCATAGAGACTTCATGTGACAAGAGTGAAAAGGAGAGATCCCAGAGGTGAAACCACCAACTGTCTTACCTTCCACTTTGCCATATTTCACCAAAAATGAAATGCACGGAATGAGCTAGTAAATTTAAGAGGACAAATAGTTCAATATAAATCAACAGCAGGATTCTAGGGTGTAGCAAAGCCTCAACACACTTCTCTCCCTTTAAGGCAACATGGCATAAAGAAGAAAGCACAGTCAAACAGAGTAACGGATCGGTTCCAACTCTTTCACTGCTTTAAGACAACACAGCAAGTCAAGTCATTTCAACTCTTGAGATAAGTTCCCCTTTCATAAAACAAGGAATAATATTTTGTGTTAAAGAGTTGGAGACCTACAGACACTCCGTTGTCTTAGATACATTACACAAGAGAGCTCTTGTTTCTCCGAGGCCCCAAGACTTAAGGAGGACTGCAAACTAGTCAGACAACAATTCAATTTAAAGATTCAAGAAAGTGGCCCAGTACAGAGGCGAGTTGGCAGTGCGAAAAAGGGAGAAGGAATGTTGATGTGATGCATGAACTCCACACACAAGAAAATCTGCCTTTACTACTAGATTGATAACAATCCCATTGTTGTGTTATACTGACTGACACTATAATTGTCTCTTTCTTTGTCAGCTAGATTACTTGTTGTTGTAACAGCAGCAACAGCAAAATTTGTGACTGAATCCCAAGACTACAGCTGTCAAACATTTCCAAATTCCATTGCAAAACACCTGTCATACAGAACACGACATAAATCCCAAGGTAGCTGTGACTCTCAGTGTCAAAGTAAATTTATTACGGAGTTTCCATCCCTCTTACCTCCAGCATAGGACGGGCACTGTCATGAATTGAAAGAATGTGCGTAATGTTATTCTTGCTCAATTGCTCTACATCTCGGGCATCTGCAGTAAAGGGAATAAAAGGAAGACATTTTTTAATCTCTTGAAACAACACCCCATTCCTTTTTCCCTTGTGCATGTTAAAAAACACTGCCATTGCTACATTTCTTTTTGAAGCTTCAAGAAGTAAAGCAAAATCTCAAATGCAGCTGTTCTAGAACACCATCAACAGAGGGGGATGGGGAAAAAAACTTTAACTCCAAAACAAATTAAATACTATATAAAGAACAAACTTAAGTGACTCAGGAATGTGTTCTTAAGTCAAAAGTTTCGCATATTTTGCATCTGAAATGTAAATCTGTGCACGTCTATGTGCAGGTGATGGCCATCTGAACAAGCAGTCAGAGCTGTACAAGAAATCTTCTCACCCACAAATCCCACTTCAAGAGATATAATTTAACTTGAGGTACTGACCTTGCCATACCCAGGCTGAGTAGTGAAGCAAACCACGGCTTGAATGACTCAAATTAAGGTAATAATGGGCCAGTCAACACCAGAACTAGATTCTTATTTTCTGAGGACCAGTAGAGAAAATGGTGCCTTTACCCAATACACAGCATTATTTTAAATACAAGGAGAGACTGAGAAGATTCTGAATGCATGAAGAAAAACGCTGTAATGAGGAAGCACAACTGTGAAAAAGTGATTCCTAGACCTTTAACTGAGGTGTTTCAAACATTCAAAACTGGAAAGCAAACTGGGGCAAGAGATTCTGATGCTAGACATTGTGAAAATATAGTTTTGTTTCTATGAGAAAGAAGGTAAAATAGATCATTAGTCATCAGTGAGCAACTTTCCCTCCACTGAATGATCTGCATGTCAGAAAATGACCTTGAAGAATCACAAATACAGGTAAAAGTCAGTTTGTGTCCAGTTGCTCTTGACCTTTTCCCATGAGCATGACATGACACATCACGCCTATTACACCAGTGGTTTTATGATGAGAACACCTGCCTTCCAAATTAGCCCATACAATCTGTTCACATTAGCCTGGCTGCACACAAAAAGAGAGCATTGACCACAAAGGTTTCAAACCGGCTCTCTCTAGGTACAAAAATAACAATAGCATCACCTGTACACTTTTTTTTTTTTATGTATGTGCAAGAGCTCTATCAGCACCTCTTGCTTCATCTTTCTCCACTCTCCTATAAAGTTTCAATGCCTTTTCTACATCTCAAAGTGGAACTGGGCATTTAATTATACTTCCCTGCAGACAAATCCACATGAACACAGCAACAGGCAAGAATATTTAAAGTTAATCCTATTGTGAAAGCTTATTCAGGGCTAATAAAATGAAAAGTCAGAACTGAGTCGATTTCCAATAATTGCTGTTTGTAATGACTTTGTATGACCAACACAGTTACTTATCCCTTCTGGAGAGAATTAACCCAAATTCTATCTGGAACAGAATTAAGGTCCAGCTTCATAGAACAACTGGAATTTCCTAAGAGTCCCACAGTAGGCATTTCAAAGAAGAAACGCTAATGTTTGCCAGGAGAGGTGTTCTAATGCTTTGGGTTTATTAGAAGTATACAGAACAGTCCTGATTTCTCAGAGAACATCTAAGGTTCTGAACGCCCTAGAAGACAGGCTAAACATTCCTAAAAGAAAGTGCTTTCAGTTCCCAAAAGGCTAGAGACAGACTTCAGAGCCTGCAGGCTCCAATTCCTGGTGTGAATGCAAAAGGGCACAGTTAGACTCCATTCCCTAAGGTAAGTATGACCCACAAGCTAAGAAGTGGCTTGCCACATAATGCAAACATGACCCACAGTGAACACTGACTGCTTCAAGGCAGATTCAAAAGCCTAATGGACACTGTAACTCAAAAGGACTGAAAGATATTAGTTCTTCAGCTAAGTAAGTTCACCAAAACAAATCAAAATCATACAATAAATGATATTGCTAGAAGTGAGCCGGAAATGGCTTTATCTTAGAGCTGCATCCCAGCGCGATGTCAGGTCCTTGGTGTATTAGGAAATAGTCACCCAAAAAGTCACCTCTATAAAATAGAGGAGAAAAATTCTCAGCCAGTGACTGTATGATCTGGATCTAAACCTGGCACAGATTATAAAAGGATAATTCCCCTTGCAGCCCCTGCCATAAGTCTACAGATACTACAGACAAAGCTGACTTAAACAATAGCACAAACGAGATATTCGTGGTCTTGTACCATAAGCTTACAAACATTAAAGGGATTATGTAAGGGACCATTAAAAGACAGAAAAATCACCTACACAGCACAGTAATTCTAGCTTTTTTTACTGTAGCATAGTGTTGTACAACCACACACAGGCTCATATTTTGAAACCACATCAAAAATCACCCCACTTCTGGAAGAAAACTATCAGAGTCCATCCTGTGCATCCCTGAATGGTCTCTCAAATGTAGGACTCCTTACAGCAGACAGTGAAACATCTCTAAACTAATGGAGACTTCTGAGTAAAGCCTTCAGAAAGCTCTCTTCTTGTGTAAGGTGTAGTTCATGTTGTAGAACTCTTCTTCTCCCCATCCTGTGCCCATGGTTAGCTTCCCTTTCCTCCATTTAAGGTGTAGAGCCTTTGCCATCTCTACTACAAACAACAAAGTATAAAATTACCAATTGTGCCAGGAACAAAAAAAAAGTATTCTGTGAAATACGTCTGGATCCACAACGTTTAACTGCAACTCACCTGTTAAACTTCTCCACACAATGACATGTTCCTTTGTATTTTGTCACCTTTCTTCTCTAGCTATCCTTTATAAAAGGCATCCTTCCTTCCTCCTTAGAAGCCCACAGCTAGCTTTGTTGTTAGTGTGAAAAGAAACATGCATTCTCATAATGCAGTAAGCTAGTTGCAATTAAGTTTTCAGAATCAAAATTTATGTATGCAAAAACAAGGCAAGTGAGGCCCCAAAGTACAACACTGTCAGGTCTCAACCTGCAGATGTATAGAGATTACAGACAGTTTCATCATCACTAGTGCTTTCTGATTTGGGGGCAATGGTGGATTTTGTCATTGTTTTAATCATTACTGGGGCTTGGGTTAATTTTCTGTTTGTTTTAAAACAAACACCTCTTCTTCTACTTTGGATAGAACCAGACAGAGCTATAGGGAGGTTGAGATAGGATACTAACAAGAGCTTCTTCATGGAGGGTGGTTAAGCAAATGAAGGGTCTGCTCAGGGAAGTGGTGATGTTTCCTATCCCTGACAATACTTAAGGGACATGCAGACACAGCCCTACGTGACACAGTTTAGTGGAGGATCTGGTAGTGCCAGGTGATGGTTGGACTTGATGATATTGCAGGTGTTTCCCAACTAAAATCACAGAATGGCCAGGGTTGGAAGGGACCTCAAGGATCATGAATCTCCAACCCCCTTGCCTCATGCAGGGCCACCAACCTCCCCATTCAATACTAGACCAGGCTGCCCAGGGCCCCATCCAACCTGGCCTTGAACACCTCCAGGGACGGGGCATCCACAATCTCTTTGGGCAGCTGTTCCAGCACCTCACCACTCTGTCTGTAAATGATATCTCTGTAAATGAAATGATTCTACAACTCTTTGGAGAACTTACCCTCCAGTGGCTCAGGACACTAAGAACTGTTACTGAGAATGCACAGAACAAAGTTCTCCTGATGTCAAAGCAAACTGCAGTGACCCACAGTTACAGGCACAAAAACTAAACATGTGAACAAAAATTCCCCATCTCCTGTTGCCACATCAGATTATATTCTATTCAGTGATTTGTCTCAGCTTCTTCAGGAGGACTTTTCCAGTGCATGAGGAAGCTGAGGAAAAAAGGCTTAATCATCTTGACGACCCTTGAAAAAAGATCTTCCTTCCCTAAAAAAAGGGAACAGTATCCTCTCCTGCTTTCACTATCTGAAATAAAGCCTCAGAAAAAAGAAAAAAAAACCAACCTTTTCTCAAAAGAACTACAAAGCTGATAACAGAATGGATCTAGAAACACAGCAGAACCACTTGGTGGATACCACCTTTTTGCACTCAGCAATGGGAAGGATATAAACTTTCCCTAGACTCTCCAGCTCACTCACAGCAAAACCGGACTCTTTGGGGGAATTAAACCTCATATTGTGGCTTTCCCCTTCGAATCAGAAAGCCCCCAAATATTCCATTGGAAAAAACTTGAGTCTTCCAACTGAGTACAAGCAAGGAAGGACAAAAGCTCTTCAAATATTCAAGGTAGAAACACTCATGAATGTCTGGGGCTCACTACTGCTACAGCTTTCAGTTTGGAAGCAATCAAGCATACACTTGGAACCCCATCTTGGTAAAAATAATTTGTTCTTTTTGTGCAGAAAAAGCTCCCTGCCCTATCAGTCTGTGAAGAAACAAAGCATCTTTTTTCTGTCAGCCACTCAGGTGACTTTCAGGGGAAATCAAATTCCCAATGCAGAAGATACAAAGGCATGCAATAAATTATTTGTCTTTGGAGAGTTGCAGAATTGAATTTCATCTGAAAGGAGCAAAGGAGCAACTGCAACAAACTAAATTTCCCCCAAAACTAGAGCCAGGTAGAAGAGTTTACCACTACTTTCCCTTTCCTAATTGTGCCCCTCCCCTTTATTTCAATTTATAACTCCTCATTAATTTTCACTGAAGAAGCCCAGGAGTTCCAATTCCCCCCTGGGCTTTCAGACCAAACTCAGTCTAAACTGTACTGTATGGACACCTGTGGTTCTTCTTGAATTTTTCTGCCCTCTAGCTGTGCAATCTCAAATACACACACACAAAAGTACGCTACAATTTCTATTTTCTTCTGGTGAGCACAGTAACGCCCACAAATCTTCAAAGATAACAAGGAGAGACATACTCAAGTGCTATGGGCTTGGTGGGATTTCAGCACATATTTATTACAGTGCTTTCCATGGTCAGGATTACATGCCCTCTATCCTTCACACCCTAAGGTGGTTGCAGAAACCTCTCTCATTCTGATGCAGCTAGAAGCTTGCACAGCAGCAGCACTCAACCCACAATGGGAAAGCTCTACTCCCGTTTCTGCCAGATGTAACCTACAGGTTTTTCTTTGGTCTTAGTTTATTTCCCAGTTAAAGGTAGGAGAGCTTGCACTTTCTCAGACATAGACTGGTTCTGTGTTAATTATGCCTAAAAAGACAGGAGAAACAATAATGCATAAAGCAGAAATATTGCTGGATATTGAATAGTAATTCCAGAGAACAACTGCTGAATGCCTTCTGCAGACAATGCACCTCCACGACTACAGCATTTAACATCCTTTCACATCCTGCTTTCAATTAGCAGGAACTGCAAAACATTCTCCCTCTGCCCTCAGACTGCCAGCTTCCCCAGAGGTTTCTCATAAAGCGGGGTGACAAACTTGAGGAGGACGGTGATTTTAGGAACCAGCTATGGAAACTCTGCCTCCCTGGACTCCCTATTTAGTCACTGGAGAAAGGAGAGACTATCCTCCAGAGGGCGGATCAGAGCACTTCAGAGACTTCTGCCAACTTCTCACCCCCCTGCACGCAGACACAGAATGTGCCAGAGCACCTCGACTCTGCATCCAGTTGAGATGCATAGTGCCAAGGATTTGGTGCTATTCTGGCTGACCAGATGGAACTTCATTCAATTCTGAGCCGCCTGGCTACTCAGGGAGAGAAGCATTACAGGAAATAATTTGCTAAAACCCCTGTCTGTAGAAGTAGCTAGATGTTCCAGCCGCCCAAATTGGGACATTCTAACCAAGCCCAAGTGCATGCTGCTGAGCATTTCTCAGCAACAATCCCCTTTATGGAAGTCTCAAAATTCATTAGTCACTTTTTGAAAGAGTGCCACAAATCAGAGCATGCCTTGGGAACATGGTAACCAAACTCCTCCGGAAAAGTACACTGGTGATAAACCCAATGCCTGTTCCTAAATGGGATGACTTCACTGCATGGAAAGCAATTGCAATTGTTCTGAAGCAGTTGGAAAGGGGGAGGGAGGGGGCAAGAGGTGCTGAAGATGCTAATACAATAAAACTTCACTTTTGTGTTAATGAAGTACCGCAACATCAATATTCTCTCTTCCTGTTTGTGTATACCTATAGAGAGATACACTCATGAGGGTTAAGAATTATATGCAACATGATCAAGAGTCGTAACAATAAATAAGTGAACACTTTTCTTGGGTTTTTAATCAATTTAGAAACAGACTCCAAAACACAGATATTGATATTCAAGCCCATCCTTTTCCTCTTATGTGGGTAAATGAAGCATTCCAGTCTCTGCTTTTTTCCAAGAGATGCTTCCAGGAATACTACCCACCCCCATGCACACCTCTGCTCCCTGTGCAGAAGTGACTGACATAGCACCAATGGCAAGCATGGCTGAACCAGCAAAGCAGAGCGAGCACAAGGATCACAACCCCAGCACAGGCAGTGCTGACACTCTGCAACCCTAGTCAACTCCCCTCAGCTGGTCATATTGTTCACTGGCTGAAAACAAAACTGCACAGAGAAAAAGATGCTCCATCTGAGTTTCACTCCCTTGGGCGTACTGTCAAGGATTTACCAGCAGGGCTGCAGCAGCAAGAGTGACAGAGAGCCATCCCCAGGCCTATCTTGCCCACCCTGCCAGAAACTTTAAAGCCAGTGACTCTATTGCCCACCTTCCATCCCCCATCCTGCCCCTTTCCCAAATTACTGGACAAAGAAAAGGAAAGAACACAGCTCTGATTTAGTTTTGTCACTAGCTCATGCAGCAGTTGGTCTTCAAACCTAGTCTTTCTCTCTTATATTCCCTCTTTTCCCCTTCTTTTCTGTTTCTCCTCCTTTTATTACCCTCTTAGATCACTATCAACTGGTCTTCGTCCTCTCACTTCCCTTACGGTGGCATGACTCACACACAAGCAGCCATTGTACTTGTGTTGGCATCCCAGCATGGCAAAAGACAGCTTTCAGCTTCACATGTACCCTGGGCTACTTCTCAGGGCATTCAGCTCTGCTTCACAGCAGCAGCAAGCACTGGACCTGGGCAGCAAGGCTGCCTTTTAAAGCATTCAGGTTCAGAGTCAGGTAAATGAGATAGCAGTTCAGACAGAAAATAGTGAAGTTGCAGGTTTTAGAGCAGGGGAGGCAAGGAAGAGGGGAACAGAGAAGACATATAGCAGTATCTAAATCCAGTGCAAATTTTGTCCAATCTTAGCAGGTCAGCTACAATATCGAACAGATTGAGAAGGGTATGATACTGCAGAGTCCTGCTTTGTTACCTGAATGAAAGACAGCAAGTATAGCACCTCAACCTCAAAAAGACTGTACAGACACAACTCCTTTATTTCAGAGTAAGGATGGTCAGCTGCAACTGCTGCTAACAGGGGACTTTGAGAACAGGTCATTTATTTGGATGCTTACATAAAGTCTCCTATTTTTTCTAAATATGGTTCTGTGAACAAAAGGTAAACCTCATGCAAAAGGGTAAACAATCAGAGGATCGTACATCTGCAGCACAGGCAGTGCAAGTATCAGTGGTCAGACAGCAATCTGCAGACCTACCAGTCTCGCATGCAGTGATAACAGAACTCTTTGACAGCTGTTACAAATAACCAAAATAAAGAAAGCAATGTGCAGGAGGCACTCTAAGCTTTACTTATAAGGAGGGCTTGCTATAAGCCTTACAAAGAATCTGCCTGGGTCACATGCCTGTCTGCCTAGCACAGGAATCATTCAAGGCAGGCCAATGTTTAGGAATTCCAGCTGAAACATGAACTGAGGAGATGGCATTCATTTTTCTTTTCATAAAAGTACTTGCAGTGCAGCACATGGATGAGAGGGCGAAGAGGTTCTTCTTTAAATGCTGTCAGGTGAATCCAAGAATGAAGCAAGATGAGGTTAAAGCAGCTGCACAGACATCAGAGAACTCCTCCGGCCTGCGAAACAACAGCTAAAGACCCCTGTTAAGCAATCCTAGAAGAAATGATAAAACTAATCTTACCTTTAAAGTTGCCAATGAACAAGCCAGGCAGAATCTGTGAGAAAGAAATATAGTATCAAATATAGATATCTTGTGGTAACACAATTTGACAAAGTTCAATTTGCATACAGGATGGAACATACTACTTCAGCAGACCATTGTCAAATGCAATCTACAGACTGCTGGCAGCATTTTGTGCCTCTTTGCAACCTTAAGCTGCATTACTCTCGATGCACAGCTCTCCAAAAGTTCTCATTGACAGCCAGGGCTGTTAATCATGTGGACTCTCACATAATGGGCGCTCTCCAAGGGTATCAGAAGCCCTGTACAAACATGGAGCGGGCCTCACAACACGTCCCCCCAAGGCACGATAAGAGCACACTTAGTTAAGTAATGACGAAACTTCAAAAAGAGAAGGCAATTTGCCTAAAGTTGCTAAGCGAGCTGGATAAAGCACTGCAGCACAAAATCCTGAGGGACCTTCGAAGCGCAAAGCCATGCAAGTGGGGGATACAGCACTGCCAGGCTCTTAGCTGGAGGAAATCACTGCACCCAGCTAGTTGCGCATTTACTGAGTGAGAATCGATTAAAGTCTGCGAGTTGCATTTTCCTCTCCCAGATCTGCCCACTCACACCACTGCACCTAGCAGCCTGCACAGGTCTCGGTTAGAGGATTTTCATTAACTCATGAGCACCAAGGTCAAGCCGAGGGCTGGCCCTGTGCATACGCACGGGTAAACACCGCAGTGCTACCCCTCCCAGCTTGGGAACGGCACCAAGGGCATAAAAATAAAACAAGCAGACCAAGCACATGCTTTCTGGCCAAAAATTTCATTTTCTGACACCTGAAAAATCTGACCCACACCCGCATCCTTTGAAGGGAGCAGAACTGTGGCAGGGAGAGCACATGATCCACTTTTCTTCGGTGCATGCAAAGCATACCACCAATACAGATATGTCAGCACTGGCTTCTGAAAGCCTTAGCAACACCCATGTGTCATCACAACAGCAGCAACAGCTTCTTGAGTGCAGCTATTTAAAGGTAAAACTCCACCCGTTTTGCTTCATCCAGCAGTCGCCAAGTTCCAAAAGCCATGGCAGGTTCTCACGGAGGATTATCACTCAAGCCTTCCCCTTGCAGCAGCCTGCCTGCTGAAAGGCAACCCAGTGCACCATGCCTAGGCCAGCAGGACCCGTGAAATACCTTCAAGTACATCCTAAAGCCATGGCTTTCCCCAGATATAAAAGCATTGTGTTCACTATTATTACCTAGCCTCACAAAAACCAGCAAAGCTGGTGATGTGCATGCTCCCTTGTAGCTTTGTGCAAGCATTCTTCCCTCCAGGCTCCACTGGATGATCACAGCATGGCACACTGGCTCTAAAGCAGGGAGCTCAAGTCTGCAATCACCATTAAAAGATGGTTGCTCTGGGGTCCTTGCATGCTCTACAGCAAAAGTGAGTCTAGTTAGGAACCAATTTCACCAACCAGGCCACCCCAGCCAACCCTCTTAGCTGATGTTTAAAATACGAATAAACAAAATCACCTTTTTATTCTAAATAGCCTTGCTATCTTAGGCTATCTGCAGCACAAGTCTCAAATCACATCCCTGCTACAGTACACTACAGCATTTTAGGCTCCAGGACATTATTTCTGCATCAAAAGTGTGCTCTCAAGAGAACGTGAAAGCTTAAACTCCAACCATTAAGGCTAGACATTGCAAATTAAAGAGGTATCAAGAAACACCAGAGTGATTTAAAATGGAGGCTTTTTAGATTGTTGCCAGCAAAAGCAGAAAAATCCAGAAGTTTGCATTTGCACTGGTGCATTATGAAGCAATGCTGTATGCAAGGTAGAAAATTAGGACACTGTGCAACCAAGGACAGATGTTGCCCCTGTTGTCCTAGTCATTCTAGAAGCAAGAAACATGACTATGGGTGAAAGCTACCTGGAAAGAAGTGAATCTTCATACTGTGCTGACTAATACTTCAGCACTAGACTATGGCTGGGAACTTTCAGCTGTGTCATCTCACACTGCCTTCAGTAACTGCAACTCCAGGCTGTGCACAACGAAGGCCGATGGCTGCCAGGAACGTGTGAGAGAAGGGGTGGGAGTCACAGGAGAAAAACATAAGGTGGTTGTTTTTGTGAACTTTTCAACCACTGCTTTCTGAATAAAAACAGTAGCCTCTTTCTATCATCCGAAACATTGACAAAATGACCATGGACTAAATAACAGAAGACTGCATAACCAACAAGGAGAGCAACGCCTGCCTTTGGTCGTATCTCCCATGAGAATGGCTCATGTTCTTCACCGTGCATGACCACAGAGCCCTACCACGGATTGCTAAGACTTCTTACGAGTCCTCTTGGAAAAATACACTTCTCTAAAAAATGGCTTGCAGTGTTATTTTGCCACTGTCTTCTGCTCGGACAGGCACTCAGGATAGAGCCATCCAATTCCTTGCCCAACACTACTTCTAAATGCGTTGGTAAAAATGGGTGCTCTGGAGAAGTTTCATCAGGCTGCAAAAGGCTGAAGGGGGGAACGGGGTCAGCCTACCTTATCAGCCAGCAAGGGAGCGCGATTTGCTGCTGCTGACATTAAGTGGCACAGCTCTGCTGACTTCCACAGAACTAGGTGCAACTGTCCACACTGATTTGCATTTCTCATGAATCAGCTCCTACAACGAACGCAGCTTACCTGCTCTTTTTGTAGCGCTAACACTCAACTCGCCCCTTCAGCAGGGTCTGTGTGAACAGCGGGCATTTAACTGTAACAGGACAAAGGACCAACCCAGGAAAAACTCTCCACTAAGTATGCCGTGCTCACAGACGGCCAAATCTAAGTACCGTGACCTCTACCACTGTTTCAGTCACTAGACTTCAGCTCCTGGAAAACATCTTTGTCATTTTCAACCGCAGACTTCAGTTGACCTTTGAATACGTGTCAAAGTTAGGCATTAATTGCAAAGACAAATAAGGCCACCTTTCCTGAGTCCAATCTCATTACTCATTCTGTACTTAAAAAAACAAAAAAAATACATATATATACGTATATGAAAAGTAATAGCAGCCAGGAGATGAGTTTAAAGTCAGTGCAGTCAGTAAACCACGGCTTTTCTCTAAACAGAGTAAGAATAGCATTAAAAACCAATGCTTTAGGTTTAGCTTGGGAAAAATAAGAACATTTGGACAGGCTTATGCAAAAATAAACATGGATAATTTTACAGAGGAAAGTAATAATTAAAGATAAATTAATAAATAAAAATGCCAGGCCTCAAGCCTTCCAATCAACACTAATGGCCACATAAAGTCAGTTTCAATTACCACTTGGTATTATATACATCAGTATCGTGTGACAGAAAAAGAGGAGGGGACCATGCCACTGAGAAAGGCTCAGCATCCAAGAGCAGCAACAGCAGCTGTAGCAGTCTGCAGAGTTTCCCTTTCCATACCCCATTACGGGTATCACCACTAATCCTCTTTCCTTGGCTTCAGTACAGAAATTCTCTGAATGAAATAATCCAGCATTGGATAAACTGCTTGTTTCCTTTTATTGCAAAATACAACTGCCACATACACACAAAAAACCACTTTAGCTGGAAACTAAGGTAATTTGCGTTGACAGACTACTCCAAGCGGAGCAAACCCAACAGCTGATGAGTCCACACCTCTCTTCACCTCTCCGGCTTTCGCTGACTCACAAGATCAAAAGGAACAGATGATCTAGGCGTACATTCTGAAGGTGGCCCGTACCAGACCTGCACACTGGACCCCTGCAAAAATAAACCTGTACCCAGCATGACCATGGCCTCCTTAAAGGAGTCAGCTCCTCCAGACCAATGGAAGTTTCATCCTCATGATTACAGAGGAAAGAGAGAAGAGAAAAACTAACGTGGTGCTCTGCTTGAACTGAGCACTCTGGTTGCAACATACCAGGACAACACATAACAGATGCAGAGTGACCAAATTTCCCTGAGTCATGGACTGTCTGCTCACGGAGTGCTGAAGCAAGACGCTGAGCAAAGAATGCTCAGGTTGAAGGGGCTGAGAATCCTCTTTCTTCCCCTGGAAGAAAGCATCCCACATCAAAACACTGAGAGTGGCAGGATAACTTCAAACATTCCTGGAAAAATACTCCCAACAGTGTGGTGGATACCCCATCTGAGCAACCTGATCTCACTACAGGTATCCCTGTTCTTTGCGGGGGAGTTGGACTAGATGGCCTTTAAGTGCTCCTTCCAACTCAAACGATTCTATGATTCTACCACCACACTTTAAAACCAAGAGTTGAAGAGAAAGACCAGGGGAGGCGTTGCTCCTATCAGTCAGCTGGATTAACCAGCCAGGCCTTCTCCCCGCCTAGATTCTCTTGTCCCAAGGTGTCTGCCCACAGGATGAGGGGCACCCCAGGCAAGAGGAGCACCAAGCACCGGGATGTTCACCAGCCCAACCGACGGCAGGATGGAGCCGCCACAGCCGCTCAGGTGCCCATCTCCAGCTCTGCTGCTGGCGAGGCCACGCTCAGCGCGAGGCTACTCCCAAAGCACTCGGAGCAGGATGTTCGACAGAGATGACTCAACTTCTCTTCCTTGCAGCGGGCCGGTTACCGCACCTCCAAACCTGCCTCAAAACAGAGGCGGAGATGCTGACAGGAATCGCAGCTGCCCTTCGACAACCGCACAAGGCGCTAGTGGGGCGAGCGCTGACAACGAGCCCCCGCTGCCCAGAGGCCAACACCCCGAGCGGCGCAGATCCACTCTCCTGCCTCACCGCGAGCTCCAAGAGGCTGTCCTGCCCCGCGGGCGGGTGACAGCCGGGACTCGGGGCCGCGCGGGCCGCTCACGGGGCACCGTGCGGGGAACCCCCGGGCGGGCACGGCCGAAACCGGCCCTGCCTCCCCCACCACCGCCCCGCCGGGGCCGCGGCCGGGCAGGAAGCGCGCCCGGGAGACGCGCGACCGCGTCCCTTCCCCCAGCCCCGCAGGGGAGGGAAAAACAACGAGAAGGAAACCGAGAAAACCCCGAGAGCCGAGGGGAAGCCCTCCCGCCCGCCGCCTTTGTTCCGCGGCCAGGTGCCGCCAGCAGACAAAGGCGGGGAGGCGGCCGCCCCCGCGCACACGCACTCGCCCCGCGGGTCCGAGGCCGACGAGCGGCTTTACCTTGTTCATGCCATTCCCCATGGCTACCCCGGCCGCCCGCCGGCGGCGCACGGGACCCTCGGCGGCTGCCGGTTAGCGAGCGGCGGGCGGCGGGGCGGAGCGCATGGGGCAGGGCCAGCCGGCGGCGGCCGGGCACGAGCGGACTGTTAACGAGGAGAGCGGCGGGGCGAGGCGCGGCGCATCACCCCCGCCCCGCCGGGCGGGCTTCCGCTCGGCCGCCCCCGGGAGCGGCGAGCCGCGGGGCCGGGCCGCCGGGAACAGCCTGCCGCCGCCGCTGCCGCCGCCGCCAAACCCCCCCCTCCTCCCCCCACGTGCGGTACAGCCGCGACGCGCGGGCCGCCTTGGGGCTTGTAGTCGGGCCGCCTCGCCGCCAGAACTACAGCTCCCGGCCTTCCCCGCGGCGCCGCCCCACCTGTAGCGCCCGGCGGCTGCGCCTCGCCGCTGCGGCCGTGAGTGAGGGGTACGGCCGTGGCTGTGAAAGGTTGGGTGGCTCAGGTGCGCGGTTGTGAGAGGAAGCGCGCTGCTGTGCTGTGCGTTTCTGCAAGCATCGGTGTGACGTGGATAATGTTTTATGTGAATGTTTACAACGTCGCGCTGTAGGCATTTGCACTGTTACTTGCAACCGTTGTTCTTACATAAGTATTATACTAAAACAAAATATGTGCAGTAGCAGAACTACGTGGATCACAGAATCACAGAATGACTCGGGTTGGAAGGCTCAGGCTGCCCAGAGCCCCGTCCAACCTGGCCTTGACCACCTCCGTTGATGGGGTGTCCACCATCTCTCTGGGGAACCCGTTCCAGCACCTCACCACTCTCTGAGTAAAAGATTTCTTCCTAAATCTCCCCTCTTAGTTTAAAGCCATCCCCCTTTGTCCTGTCACTTACAGAGCATGTAAAACACACCCTCCTTCCTGCTTATAAGCTCCTTTCAGGTATTGGAAGACAACAGTATGGTCTCCCTGGATCTCTCCTCCTATTACCTGTTCCTCAGAGATGCTCTCCGATGCCATAATACCACCTGCCTGCAGGGCATGCTTCCTCGAGGCCAGATGGTGGAAGGATGAAGAATGGTGGTGCTAAGAGGCACCAATGCCTGTAACTGATGGATGAGCTCTAGAATGAGGGACAGAAAGTGATGAGAACACAAACATAGGGGCAGAGGTTGCCAGTGCTCTCAGGGAATGGTGTTACAATCTCCAGCTGCATCTAATCTATCTCTGAGCTGACGGCCACACATCCTCCATGCTACCCTCAGCAACATGAGTGCCTCTGAAGCAGCCCCCAGCACTTCTCTGACCAGTGGAGACCTATCTCAGAGATGTAGGACAGTGGAACCAGCAGTGGCTTGTCATTCAATTGCATCTTCAAAAGCTGGTGCTGTTCCACTGTTCCAGCAGTGATACACTTTAGTTTAGCCATCATTTAGTAAACTGGGACACCTGCCTGGAGATCTGGAAAGCTCTTGCCTTTACACAGCCATATCATCACCACAGATGCGTAGTTTTAAGGGAAGGTAATATGCTTGATGGCAGCACTACAGGAGGGGCAAAGCTTGTGACAGCTGAATGTCAAGCTGCTCCCAGGCAGGTTTCAGCCAGCACCCATGGCAATGGTGTGCCAAGTGATTGCCAGGTGAGGTGCTAGCAACAGGTTTGCTGAGTAATCTTATCCTGACTTTTAAGAGGAAATAAATCATCGTGAGCTGCTGAAGCCAGGCCAGTCTTGTACGTGGGTTGGGTAGACCTGGGAGCACTTCTGAACTACACCTCAACCCATACAAGGATAAGCTCAGAGCTCCTCTGCCTTCCTCGGTTTCTTCCATGGGACTGTATCAGCTTGTTAGTAGGAAGCCCTCTCATGCTTCAACCTAGACCATTTAGAACCTTGGCTTCACTGTGGAACATCTCACATACAGCCTCTGGCACTGACCAGCATGTCTGGTCCATGTCTGGTTCTGCTGCAGCTCACAGCAGAACACACCTGAATCTCCCCCTTCATGAGTTTATGGTAAATGTCACATCCCTAGCCACAAAAGCATCAGAGCAGCTCTCTGAAAGGCTGGAAGGATAGCTACTGACTTAATGTATTTCTCTCCTCCTCAGTCCTTCCAAAAAGCATAGTATTCAGCTCTATCACAGATATTAGCTTTAATATTTCATTGGCAAAGCTCTCTAGAATGTAATTTACTCTATTCTTAAAACTCATAATATGACTGAGGTCCAAAGGGTATGAATCGCTGCTTGCCATAACTAAACCCATTACTGCCTCCTAAGTGAAGGAGTTCTTTGCCAGCAACCCTTGCAAATGCTTTCTGTTCATGAGACAAAAGGATAAGCAATTAACAATATTTCTGATTACTGCAGGCATCTGTACTGTGCTAAGAGGTTTGTGATAGCTGGAAACCCCTGTGCTCAATATGCTGAAAGTCTTGTAAGGTCACTTCCATTATCCAAAAAATGGTGGTATTTCTGTCCTTTGCAAAGAGGGCAAGGCATGTGAAATTGCTACATTGACTTAGGCAATGCAGATGGAATACCAGTACATCTTGCTTAGTCATCTGACATTTTTTCTGAATGGGAAGGGTCATGCAGTCTTCTCTGTTTTGCTTTCAAGTTTCACGACTCCCTTCAGCCTACAGTGCTTTCCATCAGTAGAATTTCATTGCATGTGTATAGCTTTCTACTGCGAAAGAGCAAAAATCAGAGTGGGAGAGTGTAACATACCAAGATTCAAAAGCAGTGGGAGGAAAAGCATTTATCATGATGTATACATTATCTACTTCTCTTCCCCAGCATTCTTAGAGGGGTAATCCTGATATTGTTGCCAGATTTGTCTCTCCTGCCAATTATTCCATAAACTGATTGTTCTAATTCTTCACTGTTGTTTAAGAAATTATCACATAATCCTTGGTGTTCATTCTGCAGGTCTGAATCAACATACAGTTGTTCAGTGATGGCCCTTCCTCATGCTATTCCTTGAGCTTAATATCTGCATTGTTTTTAATGCTTTGAAAGTCCTCTTTAAAAAGTAAGCTTTTCTTAGATGACTGGACTGGATGAATAAACCAACTTGCAAATAAGAGCAAAAAGCTCTCAACAAATCTCATAGCTTTCAGTATCACTGAAAAGAAACATCATTTAGAATCACAAATCCTGAAGATCTGGGATTTTTCTACCACTCTGTGATCTGAGGATGGTAAACTGAGTAAACTCTACTTCTTGACTTGCAGGCAAGTGCTATCTGGTGATGCAAAGAGTTCAGCAGCAATGATCATCTTCTTTGTATATATCTGAAAACTAACAAACAGGAGTGAACTGGTACTGAAACTAAGCCTTCTTAAATTAAAAATAAGACAAAACTTCTGCCTCGACAGTGCGTAGAGTTTGCTATGTTGAAAAAAAAAACCAACAGAGTAAATACTCTCTTCTTATGTTTTGGTCTTACTTTCTGTAAACCCTGGATTGCTGAGCTTGCAGTTCAGCCATGGGCAGGAGGCATCTCAGCTATCCATGATCTGCCAGGAACTGATAAGACCTGGGTTGGGTTCCCCTGAAGTGGCGTCACAGCTCAGTTCTCAGAGGTGGCAAGAAGAGAGATAAAAGGGATGGCTAATTGGAAATAGTCCGTTTTCCTCCCAGATGGGCTGATTTGACAGGAAGGAACTGTTTCATCAGAAATAAACAACAGAAAACTTTAACATTCATAAATAGCACTGGTCTTGTTTTCTACGTGTGCTAAGAGGGTGTTCAGTAGAAGGAAAAGAGTGAGGAAGACACTTTGCCTCTACTTTGAAAACTTCTACTTGGTAATTGTGCTTATGAACATTGCTAAAGCATTTTAGAGCTGTTTTACTGGATAGAAAGGATGGCCTCCTGATTTACTGCCATGTATCCCCAGAGCAGAATTCATTCATCATTTTATAAATTCAGTCTTAAGTCTAAATTTGGCTTCTATTATGTCACTGTGAAAATGCAGTAACTCCCATCAAAAACAATGGTGTGGCAGAATATTTTACATACTGAAACTGAAGGGAGTTGACACTGTGGCTTGCCTCAGCAAAACTCAGCTTTCGGAAGCTGCTTGCAACAACCAGAGTAGCTGGGAGCCCATAGTCTCCTGCTGCCTCACTCTCCTCTTCCCACCCCTTCCATTAATGGACAACACCAACAGAATACGGAGTGTGCCAGGATGGAAGGGCTGAGCCAGCAGATGAGGCCAAAGTGGCACAAAGGAGGGTTTTGTGGAAGGCAGGTCTCCCAAAAAGGGAACTGGTGATTCAAACAGGAAGAACAACGCTAGACAATGGCTGAGAAATCTGTACAAGATCATTTAGATGTAGGACAGCTGCCATGACAACTGTGTACAAAATTACAGCACTTCTGTGCCTCTGAACCCGCCAGCAGTCACTTTGTTTGTACGTACTGAAGGCTTTAATAAGAGTTATTCCAGCTTAATAATGAGGGATTGCAAACAAAATGTCGATATTGGGATTGTTGTTGGCCTAAACATTTAGAAGATAGAACAAGGAAAAAAATAACAAGCCTTGAAAATTCTGGTTTCACTAACTGGTTAAAATATACGTAATTTCTAAATCTTTAAAGCAGCTATCTCATACTGCTTTGACTTTGTTCCATATATTTACCACGTCAACACTTTCACCTCCAATGCTTATATAAGAAAGAAACTCGTCCTAGCAGGCCTCCTTATTTTTCATTGTGAGACGTTAAAAAAAGAGTACAACATTTTCTATCAATCCAGGATTTTTATTCTTTTTTTTTTTTTTTTTTTTTTTTTGTAAGGAGTAAAATATTTGATCCCTAAAAGCAAAAGTCATAATTCAGTAGGAACAAGGCAATCAAAAGTGCATATTATTGGTTACTAAGAATAGTTCATTGCTGAGTGTGAATGAACATATCCAAACACATTTCTTCGATAAGCAACATATGTATTTGTTTCTTTGGGCACATGTCAAAGTGTTCTCACATGGAAATGCAGCTTTATAATAACCTAAACACTGCTTCTAGGTCATGCATGTGAAATCCTAAGAGAAGAGGGTATTCATGAAACCTTTCTGCAGGAAGCCTATAGACTACAATATTCATTGAATCTTTCTTACATAGGGCTTGGAAACTTT